ACCCGCCTGGAATGTCCCTCCCGAGTGGCCTGTCAAGGTTGCCGCGGCCCGAACGCCGCATGCATTGCGCAGTGAGCGCCGTGTCACCCGCGGCGCCGCGCGCCTCCCGGAGCCGGTGAGGTGATCTCGATCAAATCGGCTCGAGCCGAAGGGCTGCCGCGAGGGCATCTGATCGCCCTCATGACGAACGATTCCCGACGCTCTGTGACTCGAAGGCGACCGAAATTCGGGTCGGGGGAAGCTGCCGCGCCCCATTCCACCCCCTGAGGCTGCCCGTTTGCGCCACCTCGCAATCGTCCGGATGTCGCGTCTTTTCATGTGCCTCACCCACATGTTTGCGGACCTCAAAGCCGCTGGGATCGTTGCACGTCGCTGCATATTCGAGGAGCACGGGGCCCTCTAAGGTGGAGATTCCATCAGCTGCCATAGCAGCTTCGAGCGCCTAACTAATCCAGATACTCGACGTCCTGCCGGGGATAAACGATGGTTCGACCGTAGAGCGGCAGGACGAGTACGGGACACGAAGCAAAAAAACGGGACAAACGCACGGAGCGACTCCTCAGACCCCCGGGGGTCGCGCCCTACCGGTGGGGTGCGTCCCAGGAGCCGCGGGGCCCGGAACTGACGCGCCTGGGGGGGTCGATTTCAAATCGAGCCATTAGGTGTCTGCGTTCGTCTAGCCTTGAGGTGATTTGCGTTTCGACGAGATGGGCGCGCGCGGTACTCGCGAAAGCGAGAAAGAACGGCTCGGGTGAACCTGAAGCAGCCGCCGGCCATAGCGGCTTCTCAATCGTTTTCGTCGCCTCTCGCAGACGGTGTCGAGAGGCGGAGGCGCGGCGCGACAGGGCGGGCGCTCGGCGACCGACTCGGATTTTTTACACTGAGAAATCGGAGAGCTTTGCCATCTCTTTGCCGCCGAGCTTGCGCGGCTTTGTGACCGCCGACGAGCACAGCCCCGACGCTAATCCTCCGCGCCAACCGCTGCCGCCGCGCGAATCAGTCTGACGCGAAGCCGTCGGCGGCGAACACATCACACCACACCACAACACACCACACAACAAAAACATGCGCCTCGCACACCTCGGCAAGCTCTGGTGGCTGCCGTCCGTGCTCGCCGTCGCCTACGCCGTCTACAGCATGCACGCCCAGGCGGACCCCTCGCAGACGCGCACGACGCGCGTCTTCACCGTGCGCGAGCTCGGCGCCTACGACGGCGCGGCGCGGCCCGAGATCTACCTGTCGATCATGGGCCGCGTCTTCGACGTGTCGAGCGGCGCGGAGTACTACGCCGTCGGCGAGTCCTACGCCTGCTTCGCGGCGCGGGACGCGTCCCTCGCCTTCGTCACCGGCGGCTTCGACGACGACCGCACGGACGACGTGTCGTCGCTGACCGGCAAGCAGCTCGCGGAGCTCGCGAGCTGGGTCAACGGCACCTACCACGACAAGTACGTCTACCGCGGCGTCCTCGGCGGCGGCTACTTCTTCGACGCCACGGGCCGGTCGACGCCCGCGGGGCGCGACGTGGCGCGGAAGATCGCGGACGAGGCGCGGCGCGCGGAGCTCCGCGAGGCCGACGCGCGCCGGTTCCCGCGCTGCTCGTCGCGGCGCAGCGCCGTCGAGGCCTACGTCGCCTGCAAGGGCGGCCGCGTGCCCCGGCGGCGGCGCCTCGCGGGCGACGACGACGAGCCCGAGCGCTGCGCGTGCGCCGCGCCGGACGCCGCGGACGCGGCCGGCGGGCTCCTCGACGTCTACGCCGGCTGCGCGCCCGACGCGGCGAAGTGCGACCTCCCGCCGCGGGAAGCGCCCGCGCGGGCGGCGGCGGCGGCGGCCCGGGCGCCCGTGTAATAGTGTTTTGGCGTCGTACGAGGGCCCGCGAACATGGGTGCGCGGCGGTCGAGGCTCGGCTCGCGATCTTGGGTGCGCGGCGGTCGACGCCGTCGACGGAGCAAAGCGCCGAGCCGTT